AACAGACGCCTGTTGAAGGGAGGCGTTGAAGATTGAAGTAACAGGGGGAGACAGCAGGGGCGCATAATCTTTAAGGACCCAATTCGGTATTTCATCTGGGCCAGCCGCTTTCGAGGATGATATTGAAGATAATTTATAATAAATGTCTTCTTCCCTAATAATGTACTCGGTTGGAATTGTAGTACAATCGCTTTGTAATTGGCTATCGGGGAAAGGGATAGGACTAAGGGGAGGAATATCTCGAGTAACGGATACGAAAGCCTCGTTAATTTTTTCAGCAAGTTGCTTTCCAGAGACGACTTGCCCTCCTAGGACAATACTTGAAAAAGATTTCTTCTTAGGGTAGCCAGCTATTTGTTTTACGGTGTCCGACCATTTCTTAGGATCAGGGTTACGTTTCAATTGTTTCAGTTTATGTTCTAAGAATGCAGATTTAAGGTACTTACTTTCTCAATTGGCACGATTAATGGAAATACCTCGAACAAGCCTTGTGACAACTATTCCTACACGAATTACTGCACGGAATTACTAAAATCACCATAGACCTTGTGGCTCTAACATACTAAATCTGAAAAATATTGTCATACACAAACCTAATGCCTGTATTACAAATTCCTCAAAGTCACATTTACCTAATTTCTGCTGTATTAATGTCAGATCGCTGCTTCCAAAAATAGATTAACTCACCCTGTTTTTAAGTTGTCGCCAACTCAGTGTAGTGGCGGTCACTGAATCGTGGTTGAACAATGACATCGAGGATGGACTCGTTTCGATAAACGGATATAACATTTTTCGTAAAGACCGTTCTAGCCGTCGTGGAGAAGGAATTTGTGTTTATCTACCACAGGGCACCTATGCCAAACGTTGGTTGGACTTGGAACATGAAAATTTAGAATTTCTGTGGCTGTGGCTTCGCCCTACCCGCCTTCCCAGACCGCTCTCTGGTATTGCAGTGTGCATAGTCTATCACCCCCCTGGTTTACCGGTAGAAAACCACCGCCAACTTAATGAATACTTAGTTTTAACAATAGATTCATTACGCAACCAACATCCCAACTGTGGTCTAGTCCTTCTTGGTGATTTTAACGATTTCGATATATCGAATATATTATCAAGCCATAACCTGAAGCAAGTTGTCAAAGTCCCTACAAGAGGTACAGTCATTTTGGATCTGATAATTACGAACCAACCAAACCTGTATGAACCTCCCCAAGTTTTAGCGCCCTTAGGGTCCTCAGACCATAACATTGTAACATGGTCACCCAGTCTAGAGAATACCAATTCTCAAGAACGTACGAAATCTGTCAAACGTCCCATCCGGCGCTATTCAAGGTCTGGGGTTGAAGCTTTGGGGAGATGGATCGCTACACATGTCTGATTTGGCGAGTTAGGGGCCAATCAAACGGTAGACGATTTAACATCATCATTCTCATCGCACCTTACAGAAGCCATTAATCGTATATTCCCTCCTATAACTGTGAAGTGGCATCAAACCGATAAACCTTGAATAACCCCAAGTATTAAAAAACTGATTAAAGATCGACAGAAAGCATTTTATAACCATAATATCCCCCTATGGAAATCTTTAAGATATAAAGTCCAAGAGGAGATTAAGCAAAGAAAGAAATATTTTATAAAAACAAAGTTCAGCATTTAAAAAACAGTGATAGTCGTAAGTGGTGGAAAATCATTAACAAAATGTCTGGCAAACCGGAAACAACAAAGCCTTTCACCTAAAAAGGCGATGGTGAAATCCTAAACAATTTACAAGCTTCCAATGCCCTTAACGAATTTTATACTTCCGTTAACGCTGATATTCCGCCATTAGATGTGAACTTATTACCACCGTTTTTACCATCAAATGAAAGCGTACCTGCAGTTGAATGTTACCAAGTCTGTAAGAAACTCCAAACTGTCCATTCTTTTAAAGCCCCCGGACCTGACAATATTTCACCTCGAATTTTAAAGGAGTATGCTCACGTGCTAGCTGAGCCGATCACCATTATTTTTAATACATCCCTTGCTTCAGGAGTTGTGCCGAGTAGTTGGAAGGAATTGAACATAGTCCCAATCCCTAAAACATGTAAACCGATTGCTGAAGCCGACACTAGGCCTATATCACTAACATCGTGCTTGTCTAAAGTTTTAGAGGATTTCGTAGTATCTTGGCTGATTGAGGATGTAAAAGAAAAAATCGACCCCAGCCAATTTGGTTGCCTGAAAGGGACATCCACCACTTTTTGCCTTTTGGATATGTTACATACTTGGCTTTCCCACCTTGACGGACTCAGTAATCATCTGCGTATTTGTTTCTTAGACTTCTCCAAGGCCTTCGACCGCATAGGTTATAATCTGTTAATTGAGAAACTGATAAATTTGGGTGCTAGACGCTCATTAATCCCTTGGATCATCAACTTCCTCTCAAATCGAAGGCAGCGTGTTAAATTTGACGGAGCAACCTCCGACTGGCTTCCAGTGAATGCAGGTGTTCCTCAGGGGACAAAACTAGGTCCAATCTTGTTCCTAGTAATGGTCAATAACCTGTGAATCACTTCTCCCGACACTAGAATGTGGAAATACGTAGACGACGTTTCAACCTCTGAGAGTCTTAGCAGAAATTGCACCTCTATCACTCAATCAACCCTTAATTCAGTTCAGTTGTGGGCTTCCGATAATTGGATGAAACTTAATATAAAAAAATGCAAAGAGCTTCGTGTTAGTTTTCTTGGAGAAACCCCCCAATTAATGCCTCTGTTAATCGATGGACACCCAATTGAGACAGTGCGTTCACATAAAGTACTGGAACTCACGATCCAAAACAACCTGAAATGGGATGAACATATCCATGAAATAGTCTCGAAGGCATCCAAACGATTGCATATTCTCCGGGTGTTGCGCCGAAGTGGTATTCCTCCTGCAGACCTTCTCACTGTGTATATTGCGTTAATACGCTCAATCCTTGAATACTCTTATGAAGTTTGGCACAACTCTATCTCATGCTATTTATCTAACAAACTTGAAAAAATCCAAAAGCGAGCCTTGCGTATTGTATACCCTGAACAAACTTACAAAGATGCGTTGTTGTCGGCTGGTATCACCAAATTGGAGACTAGACGTGAAGATCTATGTTTGAAGACACTCACGAAAATAACCAGAGTGGTCCGCTTACACAACACGTGACACAGACTAGATCGAACGAGCATAATTATTTTATTAGATCATTAAATAATTTATCAACTTATAAATGTCGAACCGATAGGTTTAAATATAGCTTTTTCCAAATACAATTAATATTGCTAATAGTAAATAGTGACTGGTGAGACTTGATTTTAACTTTGTTCTAACAGCCATTGTAAATAAGCTTATATTATAATTATAGTATTTTAATGTAAGCACTTTGTACTTCACTTTATGTGCGAATTTGTGCTATTAAACATCGTCTTATCTTATCTTATCTTATTACGTAGTCGCCGGTACAATTTGTCAAATTTCTGAAAAAATGCCTTCTGTCTGCTTTTAATAAGTTCCTTGTATGAAGGTTTATCCAAGGCTTATCTCGGTCGTGCATTTTAACTACTTTACATGGAAGGAAGTGGTCTAAGCCGGTATGAATAACATCCTGAAAAATTTCCAGTTTTTGTTCGCACGGTGCAGTATGATACAGGTTAGTCCAATTATAGTTCGTTAGCCATCTTCCAAATGCAACTTTGGCACCTCTGTTACCGGGTCTAATTTTTATTTTCTTGCATCCGTTCAATGATTTACATTTTTTTTAAATGCATAAAACGGAATTATGGTCGCTGAGTCCGATGGGTGCGATCACCTTAGGAAGGTCACATGTGTCTGACATATTAGTAAGAATAAGATCAAGGACAGCATCTTTCCTGGTTGGTTGTTTTTCGATTTGTTTCAAAGTAAAATGTCTTAATAAAGATGAGACAGGACATCTGTTAAAATCTCCGAGTAAAAATATACCTGCATTTGGGTACTTATTGAGAGCGAGGTCAAGTGTTGAGCTGAGGTGATCAAAAAACGCGGCGTTGTCGCTGGATGGAGGTTTATAAGCCACACAGACGATCAAACACGAGAAGCCTCGATTAAGTTTATAAGGTCGTACATAGATCCATAAGGTTTCAAAATTGATGTCATTAAATTCTGTTAGAATTTTGAACGGGATGTCTGATTTAATAAAAGCACAAACTCCACCGCCAAGTTTATCAATTCGATCACATCTTGCTATTGAATACCCGCGAATACAAACTGCTGCATCGTCGATTTTCTCATTTAACCATGTTTCGGTTATGAAGGCCATACTCACATCATATTGGTCAAGTATAATTTTTAATTCATCCACCTTTGGTAAAAGTGATCTTGTATTTGAGAGAAGGAATGTCAGTAAATTACTTTGGGCGCACTTTGGGCTTTGATATAGAGACGTGCTTTGATATAGGGATGGATACTTGATTGGAATTTAAATTAGATTACACGTTCCGCTACGGTTTCGATTGCTAGTATTAGGAATATGTTCATTATAACACGGAGCGCTAGACTGCTGACCTTCGAATTCATGGTAAGATGTAATTCTTACTGGTATAGTGTTTCGTTGCGGTGTGATTATAGTGTTGTTACTAGCTGCGACAGAGATCTCCAAGTTTATTGCAATGTGCGACGGACAAACTCCAGGTAATTCAACCAGTCTGCCTGCTGGCTGAATCGCGACCGAAAAAACGTATGCCGGTTCATCTTTCCTGTTTCATTCCTTTGAGTCTGGCGTGAGCGAGGCGCATGTGTCGAGTAATTAACAACTGGGGCAACCGTCCTATCCAATCAAGGGGTTCGGCCCACTTCGAGATGTATGCATGGGGTTACTAACTGTCGCGTTAAGCGTTTCAACCAGAGGTAGGCGGTCCAACCATTTCAAAGATTCGGTCCCACTTGATGCCGGCTGACTTTCGCCAGTATTAACACAACTAAGGTTTGAAATATGTTGTACATTCTGTTTATTTCTTGGTTTTGGCTTCACACAACTGACATTTGCATGATTGTGGGCGAAAAACAGCTTGGGAACGTTGATGGAAATTACTTTGTTTTACAGGACTGACTAAGTTGTAATGATGAGTGTAATACTGCTTTGATTCATGTTTAGCAGAACCAGCGCCTACGCCAAGGGGTTTGGTTGTGTTAGCAGTCGATCCAATTTTAATTACTTCAGGATTGGCCTTGGGAGTTTCTAATTTATGGTCGGAGGTGGATTTGCATACTTCATAATGATTCTGTTGACCTTTATTTATTCCTGGTGCACCTTTGATTTGCTGGGTAACGTGTTTGTTAGAATTAGGGTAGGCCTGGAGCGTTAACTTGTTATTTGGCTTGTTACTGCTAACAGAACAAAACTGGGCTACTCCGGGAGGGTTGGTATTTTGTTGGCAGATTACGGTTGACCGTAATTGAGCACAAGACTGATTTGAACCATGTTTACATATGGGAATCGTGGCAGTACTATCAATCTTGGTTGAGTTAGCTGTAGGTACAACATTAATTGATTCAGAATTTGTAATTGGGGCAGTATTATTGTCTGAAATGAAGTTACTTTTACTCTGATGGCTTTTGATTGAGTCTAGGTCGTGACGAATTTGCTCAATCGCTTGATTGTTAGACTGAACTTTGCTTAAAATATTTGATTCTGTGATTATGATGTTTAGTTTGAGACCTTCAATTTCGGTCGATAAACTATTAAGCGTGTATGTACACTGGTTATCTGTCGCGTTTGTGGCATCAACTATATTTAATCCGACACTGTTATGTACTTCGAAATCAGTTTGGGTAGCGGAATCGAGAAGATCCTTTCTGGCGAGAATTGCAGAAAATTCATTTAGTAATCTAGTTGTAGAATAACAAAGCTTGTTTACAATCACAAATACACCGTCAATTTTATCCTTAATCGCTTTTATTTCAGCCATAGACTGGCTTGGGCATTCACTAGAATTAGTAATTTTGCCAATGTCACGCGATTCTCCTGTCGATGATTTTAGCTCGTCCGGTATTTTATGTGTAGTATCGCTTGGCGTGTTCAAAATACTTATTAATAATGTCTTTAAGGATTCACCGTCCTTCCCGCTGAACAGCAAAGAATTTTGCTTACCTGGGTGCCAAGTCATTGTCAGATCTAGGTCATTGCTTACAAACTGTTTGTGTCGTTTGTGTTGGTTGAGTAACTTTGACCATTTGTCCGAGAACATTTGACCATTGTTCACGCTACAGTTTCGTGACCTCAAATGCAAATTTCTATCTGTTGACTCCAAAATATTTGCAACCTTTGGACTCTCCGAATATACTTTGACTTCACCGCTCAATTTGCAGTCGAAATTTAATAGTTTTTCTTTTATTTCGTCGACCTTTTCCCCCTTCACCGTCAAAGTTTTACTATTCGAATACCAACGTATCGAGACTTCCCCGCTTTCGAACAGTTTACAGTAACCTCCCGGGCTTGTTCACCCTTTACTAGATTGTAGTTGTAGTCGGTCAACAGCTAGACGAAGCTCTTCGAAATTCTTTTGCCATTTCAAATTACCATTGGCTATCATTAAAATGCTGCTCTCAATTAGTTCGCTATCACTTGATGGCTTCGTGAGATTAATAAGCGAATTGTTCTGGTTGAATTCGGATTCAGTTAGGTTTAGATCTCCCTCTATGCTGTTTAATTCTTCTGTAGATCTGCTAGTTTCGTCTCGTTTACCGTTCAATTCTGATTCGTTTCGATTCTGTGTTATTGCTTTAGACATTTTATTGCCGTAACAATACTTATTAACAAAAAATTTAAGAGTATACAGAGCACCAAATGTACGTCCTGCCTGACAAACGTCCTGTCACAGTATAGGAAAAGTACAGTAGGGCCACTCAGCATAAAAAAGTGTCTACATTGTTTACTGGCTGCCAACCTAATTTACATATTGGCAGCCAGTAAACGGCAGCAGTCCACTATAAAATTGTACTACAGAATAATGATTTTGGCCGCGTAAGACACCAGCCTGGAACCTAGTTTAAATAATTGCCACTTTTCTGTCCCCTAAGTGGCCCTACTGGTTGTCTCCCTATACTGTGGTCCTGTTGGGCAGGTGCTCTTGCTCCTGTTGGAACATTTAATGGGTGAAGTCTAATTTATTGAACGAATGAAATGAATTTGATTTGTGCATGTAATTGTTTAGAATATACAGGTGTAAGACAATGCATAGCCTCTAGAATGAGAGGACTAATATCCAAAACGGTTATTCTTACTCCGACTACTGTGGTGAATATACGTTAAAAAATATTGAGAAACTACAATTATGAACTATAAAATTATGTGAAATATCTTTGAGTCACAACAAAAGGATTTAAAAGCGAGAGAACCAGGCAACCGTTTACGCGTTTCGACATTACAGTCTTCTTCAGCAGGGTTTTAAGGGGGGAATTGTTGGTAGAACTTACAGAAGGGAAAGGAAGTAGAGTTTCGGCATTATGGTAGTAATGTAGAACCAAGAGAATAACATATTATTACGAAACTTATGGAAAATATAATAGAATTAAGTGCGTCGTGGTGTTGGAATAAACAATAAGGTATGAACAATAAAAATATAAAGTACGTGGTGTTGGCCTTTGGTAGGATAACAGACAAATTGGCTAATATAATATTTGGTAGTTAAATCAGTTTTCAGTATCCCTTCACCCTTTCATTCATTTTTTTTTTTGTATTTTTTGTATTATTTTTTGTTTTATATTTTCCATAATTTCGTAATATATGTTATTCTATTGGTTCTACGTTGTTATCCAAACTCTGAGATTCACCTTCCTTTCCCTCCTGCAATCTCTTCATACAAAAAACCCTGCTGAAGAAGACTGTTACAGTCATTTTCAATCTCTGACTCTTAAATTCTCTTCTCCTTTCAACATGTCCCAAAAATCTCTCACCTAATTTCAGGTCCTGCCTAATAGACCTTTCCTCTTATAAGTGAAATTTTTATCTAAATATGCCTGGGCAACAATTTTATCACAGCTTGAAAGAGCATCACAAAATTAGTAATAGTCCGAAGTTTCGTTGCGAAATATTGTAAAATGCGGATAATATAGCCTTGCGAAATTTGCCGTTTTTCAGTCATTGTATTACAAATGAGAAATGGATAATCAGTTTGATCATCTGATTATCAATTTCCCGTTTGTAATGCAAAATGACTGAAAAACGGCAAACTTCTGAAGGCTATATTATCCGTATTTTACAACATTCAACGAAACTTCGGAATATTACTAATTTTGTGATGCTCTTTCAGTCATTTTGCATTACAATCTAACATTTTGCGTCAGTTTGATCATCTGATTATCAATTTCCCGTTTGTAATACCAAATGACTGAAAAACGGCATTTGGGATATCACATGGTTTTGGGATATCACATGTCAGCTAAAATTCGCAAGGAAGCAGAACTATATCAAGTACACTCATGGCTCAATTAAATGATAAAGCTATAATATATAATATATGTACTGTACATCATACGAGAGGTTTATTATCTATGATTTGTTGGCTTTTTTGGGATTATACAATCAAAGGGCACAAACGTATATATTGTGGTATTGAAATGAAATTTTTGTTGTTAATTTCAATTTTTATTTTTTTTAAATATAATTTTGAACGATCGAAGCTAATGTACGTAGATTTTTCAAGTAATATGTACTCTCGCCAGACTATGATGTTCATTTTCTGAATTAAATGAACTTGATCAACAGTTTTCGCGCAAGAAATTTTACGTATCACATGCATATCTAAGTTTTGGCCACACCAAGGCCAATTATTTTGAGCATGTGGTCTAGCACATTAGGGACCAGTCATTAATTACAGGGGGGGGGCTGGTGGAAAAAGAGGGGGGTCAGATATTTTTGTGCATGGGTTCAGGGGTTCTGTGGAATATAAACGCCTACCCCGCATGACCCCGTCGTACCATAAAACCTACAGATAAAAAATAGAGAGCAGTAGAACTGTAGTAACTTCAACACAACGCCATTTATTAAACTGATTTTAATATAAACATGTACATTGGAACAGCCGTCGACTTAGTAAATGGTAAAGAATATATAAATTACGACAGATGTATATAGAGCATATTTGCCAACTCTCATTTAGCCAGCGAACAGACTCTCAAGCTGAATTGAGAGCCTGCATCGATGACTAATGAATTTGAATATCTGCCCCGTAACGTTCGTTTTTCCAAATATGGAATGTCTATCCTTATATGGTGTTGTTTACAACTTTCGTGCAAACTAAATTTAGACCATGCAAACTAAATTTCAACCTCGTTCCCAGGCTATTTGCTCTTGGGAAGCAAAGACCCTGGTCGGAGCTGGTCACGTGACGCATTGAAAATTGATAGCCCAAGAGGGGGGTGGAAAAGTCTCATATTACATGTTTCCACTTCCGCACTTCGATTGTAAGGAGTGGCCGTTCTGTACAAACATTAATTCATCTTCAAGAATCATATATACCTCAAACTACTTGCTAAATTGGTTTCAGTTTGCTTTTAAATTATACAAACATGCTAAAATGCAGATTCTTATGGCAACAGAAAATTCAGGAAATCAAGCAACGAGAACATATGACTGTACGCTTTGAAATATTTTTATTTTCTCGGGGTCGCCGGTTCGGGCGTAGTTTTATTTCACGCATATGTCTCTGTTGTGGCTCTGATATTTATAATATGCTTATAATATGCCAATGAATTGTTCTGATATGGACATGGTATAAATTTTGTTAAACAGATGTCTCGAAAGCGACTGTTTATAGGTCGTAGGATTAGCGCCTTGCCGGTCTTAACTCGTGACACATTTGGACACAAGCCAAATACACATTGTGAATGTCCATTCTATTGATTCTAAAACTGTTTATAGACATATTGCTCTAGATTTTTTTTTAAATGGCTATCATCGTTTATATTAAACACAGGAAGACAAAATATAACGTACAAAATTGTTTGAAATCGACAGTGCACAGCTGACATACGACAATTCATAACTGCAAGAATTTCCTTTTTTGTCTGCACGAGTACCTGTTTGTTGAAGCCAAAATATTGCACAGCATCTCCTATAAATTCTATCGCCATTTACCCTCTCCCCTTAAATGCAAAGGAATGACAGCCGAAAAGGTTTAGCAAAGTATTTTTTTATTATATCTGGTATAAAGTGTCCTACGTTTTATCAGGGACATACATAATTCATAAACTGTATATGCACACGAAGTCTCGCTTATATTAACGAGTTTTACTGTAGCAAACCTTTTAAAGTTTCCATTGATAGATAGGTTGTTTGCCTCCAGTATTGTTTGGTGAAACAGACTAAACTTCTAAAATGTCGATTCCAGTATACGATAAAGATTAAAGTTGATTTAAATATTGATAACTCACAGCGGCATTAATCCATTATACAAGTCTAAAGAAGCTGGATTATTCTTCAATAAAGCCCTCAATGGACAATGCCAATGTCAATGAAAGGTCTAATATTATACATGTTGCAAATTACTGTATATACAAAATATGAAATAATTTATATAAGTACAATACCAGTGTCTGGTGCATATATCGTCCTAGATATTCAAGTTGTACCGCACGCACGGAAACGCATGTACGGAGTCTTGGCGTTTGTGTGATAACAGATAGCTAGCTACACTTCGACATTATCTTTCTTGATCGTTGAGTTTCAGCAATGTAAATGAAATGAATTTTATAGCCAGTCCATAACGGGTTTTAATCCTGTGCTTTTACAGTCAGAATAGCACTATTGTTTACACATGCATATTGGCGATGTTTGGGAAATCAAAGACAAAGGATCCCGTTATAAAATAAATCTTTTGTTTTGAATATCGGGCAGGATACACTTCAACTATAAAGAACCATATCGTTCGTTTAATACCGTTTGATCTGTGTAGAAGATATGTATGTTTCTACGAAGATACGTGCTAAACTTCGCAGGCCAGGCGCGTGTGGAGTGTTTTCCTTGCAAGTGAAATATGATCCAGCTTCTCGCTTGAAATGTACCGCAACACTTATTATTAATGACATTCAGTATAGCAGGAAGTCTTGTCATGATCGGTACGAATTTAGAACAGTTCCTTTCACAATCTCTTGTTGCAAATTACATTTTATCACCCGAAATTATAACACATAAAGTTGCAATTTTCCAAACGCAACAAACAGACTACTCTCCTACCCCTCCCTGAGATCAAATTCAATTTACCCCCAAAATCTGGGGGTTCACGTGACCAGCTCCGACCAGGGTCTTTGCTTCCCAAGAGCAAATAGCCTGGGAACGAGGTTGACTAAATTTAGACCGTACAGTTTATACTGTTTTTCGAAATTTAAGATATTGAAGCAAAAGTTTTAATGTTTTAAATACTGTTTTCTCAAAACAGAACATTTCGTGCTTTGAGATAAGATGGCCAAGACCAATTTGATCAGTTAATGTGTTTTTTATGCATAGTGTTAGCAGTTGACTTATATAGAGCTCAGCGGAATAATATAAATTATAGCATCTGACCAATGAGAATTTCGCGTCACGATTTGAGACGCAGATATTCAAATTCATTAGTCATCGATGCAGGCTCTCAATTCAGCTTGAGAGCCTGTTCGCAGGCTAACTCTCATTGATCCACTATGAGCATCACGGATTGTACTAAAACCTCACGGTGAGCTCACAGCTTGTTAATATCTCACGGATTTCGAAAATAATCCAACTCGTTCTTAAATATGTTGGCTTTGTTGCACATTTTAACTATTAAGAGTGACTTCATTTGCGTCAAATTAGGCCTACATAAAACGTTCTTCTTCTAAAAAAGATTCACGCCATTAAGCCAAAAATAGATAACGAAAACATCACTTCATGCAACCTCGCACTCATGATGCAACAATATGGTTTTTATATGTAAATAAAAGCTACTAAAACTTGTGTGTATATATATAAGGTATAGAAGCCTCTGAAAATCCCATTTCCAACGATCTAGAGACTCCATATTTTCAAACCTTCCGCTCGGTGCCGACCATCTGGCGCCTCGTGGCCTCCCAAAGCAAAATCTCACGGATGTTTTTTTTCCCAAAGTTGATCATGGCAACTATGATAGGGTAGTATGACTAAATGTGGCTTCACTTTATAAGATCTTTAAATTACGAATGTGCCTTTTGTTATTTGCATGTGGGGATGGGGGTGGGAGGTCAAGTATAATTGTGTTATCCTCAGGAAGGGGCAACCAAATTTTAGCATCTAATATTTCATTTCCACCAGCTCCTTCCCCCCCTCCTTCCCTGTAATTAATGAACGGTCCCTATTAAACAAGGCGTAATATGTTGGTCGTCCTTTCGTTTTATCTGTCACTCATATAGGTATGTTTCCTAATCTCCGTGATATAGGAAGACGCATGTGGTTAACTATGTATATATGTATGTGGTTATAACTGTTTGTGGTTAACTGGTTATGTAACTGATATGTATATTTATATATTTTCAGCGTGTATAAAAAAAAGGTAATCGAACTTCAGCCCGCTATTGTATCTGAATTACTCTGCGTATGAACAAGATTTTTTCATATTCGGAAAGATCAGGCTTTTAGCTGTTGAATGATATGTTCTTCATGCCAAATGGATAAAAAATGAGCAAATACGAATCAGATAAAAAATGCAGTGCAGAATCGCATATTTTCACTGCTGAGAGTTGAGTCTCAAACCATTGAAAATTAACCCCCTTTGGTACTTAAGGGCCTGTTCATATGGGCAGAAGTCATCCCGGTTAGCGGGAAAACTTTTCGACAAGTTTACGAGCGAGATCTCGCCTTGTTACGAAAATAACATGAAAAGTTACATTGCGTTCATATGAGACGAAAAGTTTTCCCGTGTACCGAGATCTCGCTTGTTGACAGGCGAGATCTCGATGACCGGGATAAATTTCCCCATATGAACACAACTTTCCCGCTTAGTGGGATAACTTTTCGTCGTGTCAGCAACTTTTCAATTCAATTGATGTTCAGTGCTACGTCACAGCCGGAAACTTTTCCCGGTAAGTGTGATAATATTTCTCCATATGAACAGAACAAAAGTATTTGGCTAGTCGAAAAGTTCTCTCGTTAACCGGGATAACTTTTGCCCATATGAACAGGCCCTAAGTCGATGAATTTCACTTCAATAAACCACACAATAAAGGAATAAATCGTAGCTAAGCTATGACAATTCGTGGTTAATTGCTTTTTCTTTTGTTATGCACTGCTTTAATTGGGCACAGAAGTGGATACACAATGTGTATAAAAAAGTATAGCCTTTCAAATTTACATCAAGTATAACGCCGTATTCTACAGAGTGTATAAAAAAACTGAACGCAAAGATGCGTAAAATATTGACAAGGGTGCATATATTAAATATTGACTTATTAAGAAACTAAAATATCTTTGTAAAATGCACGATTTTCTGCTCTTGGGAATTTAAAACAGTTTCTTAAACGGTTTCTTTTATACATAAAATTTACTTACGTCAAGCTTTGATGCACGTGTGAGTTCATCAGAGTGCTGAGGTATTCAAATTCTAACAATACATTTATTTCAATAGTTTTCGTGTTTTTTTGGGATTTTCTAATTTCTACTTCTATTTAATAAATTCTCTAATTTTTATTTCTTTGAGTTTTGTCCGATTGTGTTTTTGCCCGTTGTGTTTTTTACCCAACATTAATTCAAAGCAGTTAAAGCTGTCAAATTACTACAATACGTTACAGCTAATTTGAATTTGAAAGAGTTCAGTTTTTTTATACACACTGTATTGAATTCATCTGACAAGCTATACAATTGCTTCAAAAAAGTTAGCGAGCCGTATTGAAACAAAAGACTTTCCAGGCATTAAAATACAGAAGGACACACTTTGCCTTCAGAGGCGTATTTTCGGCATAAATGTGCAGACTCGTGAGAATGAACTCATGAGAATGAGGCGTATTTTCGGTATAAATGTGCAGAATCATGAGAGTGAGCGTCGAAGACGCGAGATTTTAAGGGGGTCTTTGAAATGGCATTTCCAGAATTTTGATAAATCTTTGGCCATTTTGAGCGGATTTACAGAAATTCTTGCGCGGATTTTCAAAACAAATCCATTTTGCACGGATCTCTACAATTGGAAGAATTAATGGAACAATTGCTCTTTTGACCGGCTAAGGAATAAGAGTAGACACAGACAGCTTTTGTGTGGGAGAATGGGTTATGGGGGTGAAGTACTCCTGTTACAATAAGTGTCATATCATAAGTATATTTAACCCAATAGACTCTTTATGGCCTTATATTTCATCCTGCGGGGTATATATAAGGCCCGCTCTGAAAACCCTAGGGGTAATGGTCCCTAGGGCTGCTCTGGGGGTAAGGGTCCCCAGAGCTGCTCTGGGGGTATGGGTCCCCAGAGCACATGCCAGAAGGGTAGCGACCCCCTCTGACCGTATTGACCTGAACCAAGGGGTAAGGGTCCCTTGGTCAGTTATAACTCGACTAATTATCTTTACAATGAATGAGTCTATGGGCATGAAGGTGACCTTTGGGAGCACTTCAACCCCACAAATACAGTAAAGTGTATCTGACACTTGAGTGTATTCCCCATAGACGAGACAATCCACACAAAATTCACAGCTGTTGACATTTTATTTGTTTTGGTTTTGTTGGGTTTGTTTTTTGGGGGGTTTTTTTGGGGTTTTTTTTTGGTTAAGTTACTTGACACAATGTTAAAATTTGGATGTGTTGGCCAGCATGGCTGATACTCCTGATAAGGTAGATACAGGTGTTTTAATGTAACGTTCGTAACAGTCCGAAGACCATCTTCCCAATGTTTTAATAAGCCACGAAGGTAACTTTGCTTCTGCTGCAGTTGTTGCAGCCCCTATTCTATAGCTATGACCAGCATAATTTGAAGCATTAAAACCAGACAGAGCGAGAAGCTTACGAGTTTCAGTGGTTAAAACTTGCTTGGTTAGAGGTTTTCCTGAGGCATGGATAAACAGTGGACCAATTGTGGGGGGACGTAGAGAGATGTAATTTTTTAAGGCCTGTACAGGGCAAGTTTCAGAGTTGGTTGCGCCAACGGTTATTGTGTGACCCAAGCGAAATGGGTCTGTCTTAGACTCTTTGATGCGAACAGTCATGAATTGTGGGCCTTTTGTACCAATTCGAGGTGGAAAAAAGATGCTATCATGGGTAAGATGTACATCTTTATTGAATTTGGAGTTGCATGTTAACTCGCCAAGACGAAGAAAACCGAAGAAGGCTAATGTCATAGCCGCCCATATCATCTGAGAATCAAAATTGTTGGTATTGGAAATTGCAAGTAGTAGTCGGAAAAGCTTCAGATGGTGGATGGTTATTGGTAGGCGGACTCTGATTTGGTCACCTTGAGAACGCTTAATCTCTCTAAGAACAAGTTGCAAACGCAACATTTTATGCATGTGTAAATGAAAACCACGACGAATATGGTAGTGGCGGACAGCTGCCAAATATATTTTGATGGAGGCATATTTGATAGATTTGGCAAGGAATGCAACAAACTCAGTCAAAAGTAATTCATCGGCTGGCAAACATTGCTCTAGTTGTTTCCCTGTTGATTTTCACCCGAGGTATATGTTTTATGTGTTGTAGATGCAAGTGATAGATTTATATAATTTTGTATGTCCTCATTCAGAGAGTCATTAACATTTCTGGAACTTGGCAGGGATTGGTATCTGCATTTGGTGCCAATTGTCGAAACCTCTGAAATTGAGAACGGGAAATTGCATCAGCAATGTCATTATTTTTGCCAGGAATATGTACTGCACGAATGTACATATTGTGTTGCAAGGTTAAGAGTGTTAAGTGACGCATTAAATCCATTACCCGGGGAATTTGGGAACGTTTAGTATTGATTATGCCTACCACAGCCTCATTGTCACAATGAAATTTTATGCGTTGATCAGCGAGTAACTCACCCCAGATTTGACATGCAACAACTATGGCAAAGAGCTCTTGCCATGCTATACTTATACCGGGCTGACCTAATTTTTGGTGTGGACGCCATTTTCCCTGAAACCACTTTTTACCAAAGATACCCCCAAAACCCAGAGAGCCGGAGGCATCCGTATGTAAATTTAAAGTATCTGAGGCATGCCACGCAGATGAAAAAAAGAAATTGGCACCATTCCACTTGGAAATAAACTCTTTCCACATCCCAAGATCTTTGAAGAAACCAGAATTGAGTTTAATATGGTGATGTGGTTTCTGAACATTTCTTGTCAAATCAATCATGCGTTGAAGGAATGACCGCCCCGGGGAACCACTCTACATGCAAAATTTAATGTGCCTATTAATGACTGCAGCTCTTTTAGGGTGCAAGACCGTCTGTGTTGAAATTGCTCAATAGCAGCCTGCAGCCTATCAATTTTGTCAGGAGGGAGTCTAGCTTGCATCTTAATAGTGTCTAACAAAATACCCATAAACTCGATTACCTGTGAGGGGCCTTGTGTTTTGCCCTGAGCTATAGGGATATTAATAGTTTGAAAAGTAGGCAACATGTGTGTTAAGCTTTGCTGGCAAATGCTATTGTAAGGAGGCAAGACCGCTGGAGGCTCGATTAAAAGAAAATCATCCAGTATGTGGCACACAAATAAGATATTACATTTATTTAGCAAAATCCATTCAAGGGCATCTGAAAGTTGGTTGAAGATGGAAGGGGCACTCCGTAACCCGAAAGGAAGAACCTTATCATAATAGAACTTCCCTTCCCAACACATGCCTAAAAGCTCATAGTCGTCTGGGTGGATAGGAACTAACCTGAAAGCCGATTCAATATCAGTTTTAGCAAGAAAGCAACCTGCATGCACCAAATTGCTTAATACCTTCGATAGCATCGTCTATTCTTACATATTGAAGACTGTAATCCTCTTTGGGAATACTACAATTTATGCTGGTTGAGCCTGACTTCGGATACGATAGATGGAAAATTGTACGAAATTTATTTGAATTTTTCTTTGGTACTAGGCCAATTGGAGAAACTTGAAAATTTTTAAATGGGGGACTATCAAACGGACCAGCTATGCGACCAAGCGAAACTTCAGTTGCCAAATTTGAAGAAACAATATCTGGGTTATCGAAAGCCGTTGGCAAATTCCTTGAAAACCTTGGGGCCCGTTGCCCCTGAAAACCTATGTGCACACCAAATTCAAAGTTGTTACAAAGCTGTGAAACAAAATTTTGGTCTGGGTGACCTGAAAGTGCTGTTTTTAAATGTTGGATGGAAATAGGTGTAGGGAGTGGTTGGGCTTTAACTTCGTTTGGATTTTGAGGAGTTGTGCTCACGTTTTGAATCTCGCTCATCGTATTTGACTGACTTGGAATTGAGCGAGGGACATGCAGATCCAGAATGTTTGCCATTACATGTGTTGCAGAGGTGTTGGTATTGGCATGGCTGACGGAAACACCCAACTCCCCTGTTGAAATTTCGACAGAGGCCTCCTCGAACGCCCCCGGAGGAAGCCCAATTGTGGGGTCCATTTGAAAAATGAGGATACTGTTGGACTAAGATGTCTGGCGAGCTTGTGAATATCATCAGCCACAACTGCTGATCAATCAGGGACCAATTTTGACTGGGGTTGAGAGCAGCCTTGCATCGGAATTTATGGTCGTATACACACCACCCCAGTCCACGGTGAGTTTGGGCTGCATGGCGTATCAAACTCAAATAATTTAACAATTCTTGGCCCCGACCGGGGAACTTATGGGTCATCACGCTCATGTATACAGTGAATGCGGTTGTCCACTACTCGATATCGGTTATCCTAGAAGTTGGCTGCGACGCCTTTTTGACCTTGATTGCTGAGTTTTCGAGAGTTAATATCATAGGCTCGTCGGAGTGGTTATTGGTTGACATGTTTTTTGGTAAAAGTTTAGATAAATCAAAAA